GCTGTGCGGACCCACAGCCAAAGCCCCAGCCCGACGCGTGAGGACACCGCCCGCACGTAGAGAAAGGTGTGCACATGCACTCGCGCGCACACGTGAGCGTGCGTGCAAGCGCACGTCCGTGTGCACTCTTTGGGAAGGGCCAAACGTACCCACAGGACGACGTACCCCCAGTGAGGTGTCGCAGCGGCCATGGATCCAGCCACGGTGGTCGCCAAAACGCAATCTTGGGCGCCACGAGGCGGGCCCTGAGGCCCCCACTCCAGGGTACGTCTGTTCTGGGGTACGTTTGGCCTCCCCTGAACTCTGTTGGTCAGCGGCAGTGGGATCAGTCGCACCGCGGTCGGAGTGGCAGTCAGGTCACGGAAGAGCTGCCTTGCTGGCGTGGCCACTGCTCAGTGAGCGCGGCTGCCTTGGCGCCCATGGCGCCTGGGCCATCGCATGGCCAGACGCCGCTGCTGCCCTAGAAGAAGAAAAACGGCATAAGCATAATTTTTTGGCGCTCCGCGCGGATTTCTTGGATCTGCGCTGGACCACCCCCCCTGGCGCGCGGAGCAGGCCAGGGGCGGCGCCGGAGGCGCCGCCTGGGGGGCCCAGCGTGGATCCAAGAAACCCGCGCGGAGCGCCCAAAGTCTATGCTGGTGCCGCTTCTTCCTCTTCGAGTCTGGGGGGGCTGGGGGGGGAGGACGGCGGTGACGAGGAGGATGCCTCGAGGCTCTGGGGCGAGGGGCAAAGCGCCAAAAGTTTTTATGTTTCTGCCGTGTTCTTCGTCTGCGATGCCCTGGGCCTCGTGGTCGCAGCCCTTGCTCGCGGACGAGCGCGCGCGCCCCGCGCCCTGCAGGAGCTCGCCCGTCGGCGCTGCCCGCGGCACCTGGGGCGCAGCGAGGCCCCCCCGCGCCCGCCGGAGCTCGGCGTGGGCGCGGCGGCCCCGCCGGGCCGGTCCGAGCGCCCCCTCTCGGCGAGGCTCGGGGGTTGCCTTAGAGGTGCCCCTCAGGGCTGAACCTAAACAGTGCTTTTCGTTTTCGTTCTGCTTTCGTTTTCCTTCGTTTTGTCTTCAATCCACCTCTACCGCAAAGCGAAGTCGAAACGAAAACGGCCCACGAAATCGCCAAAAGACCGTTTAGGTCCAGCCCTGGTGCCCCTGGCCGAAGGTGCCACCAGCTTTTCGCTCCATCCTGGAGCCCCATGGGGCCCTCTGGGCCTCGCGAGGGGTGCTCTGAGAGGTCGTGGGGGGCGGGCGGCACCCTGGGCCAGGGGCACTCCTGGCGACACCCCGGGGGTGGTGGTGGGAGGAGTGGCCAGAGCAGTGCGGAGCGGCTCGCCTGGTGCTCTCCGACCGCCGCGGGCAGCACTCTCTGCCAGCAGCCTCGCGCCCCAGCAGCCTCGCGCCCCAGAGGCAGGCCCAGGGGAGAGCGGCCCGGGGAGGCAGCGCCTGGGCGCCCCGCCTCGGAGGAGGAGGTAGGGGCCCAGGGGGGGAGAGAGAGAGAGAGAGGAGAGAGAGAGAGAGAGAGAGGAGGCGCAGGCTGCAGCGCGGAGAAGCGCGTGAGCCTCGTGTAAGCGAGGCCTATCCCCACCGGCGAGGCCTGGGCCCCACTGGCCGATTCGCCCCACGAGATGGGGAGACAGGCTGGTCCCTTCGGGTTTCGAGGGGCACATCCCCAGCTGGGGGGGGGGGGGAATGGTGGGAATCGGGATAGGGATCAGGATGGGGTTCGGGATCGGTTAAACGATACGGGTGTCTGCCAGCAGCCACAGTCGGCACAGGCCACCAGGCAGGGGTCGACCGCGCAGACGCGCTTGGCCCAGCTGCCCCCGACAGGCGTCGGGCTCTGCTTCCTCGACTTGCGCGGCAGCCGCCACCTCACCCGAACCGCTCGGCCTGCCTCTGGGCCAGGCCTGGCAAGCGCGAGGGGGGGCGCCTGGGAGGCGGAGGTCGTGGACTGAGGATGCGGCCCACCCGCGGCGCCAGTGCGCCCTTCCCCTTCTTGCCCTGCGGCCGCCTCTCTTGCTCTTCTGCCCGCCCTCCTGGCTGGGCTCAAATTCGCGTTGGCGCCTTCCTTTAGCGCTCACCGCGTGGGCCCTCGCTCCGCAAGCGATGGCTCGTCCGCTCGGGTTTTTCGTTGCTTGGCCTATCTCCTCATCCTCATCCAGGCCCGCTTCATCGTCCCTGTCCTCCTCTTCCTCCCGTCCTCCGCTTGCTCCAACCCCCTAAATCATCATCCTACTCGCTTCATCGTCCCAGTTTGCACCCTCCCTTCCTCCTCATTCCTCGTCCTTCCTCATCCTCCACCCCCTGCTCCTCCTCCCCCTCCTCCTCCTCCTCCTCCTCCTCCTCCTCCTCCTCCTCCTCCTCCTTCAACTCCCATTACTCCTGCTCCCATCCCAACTCTTTTGGAACGTGGAGGACAAACAAATCACCGGACGTTTCGGCGAGGCATGTCAGCCAACGATCAGGAATCAGCCAGTTCAGACAGGAAGGGAGGCGAAAAGGAAGCAAAAGGAG